CACACACACACACACACACAAATACACCTCAGGCCAAAAGTCGCAGTACATTCAGGAAAGTTGCAGAACAGTTGTCATGTGTAGACTCACTGGAGCAAGGGAAGATAAGAGGAAGACAACAGTAACAGCATAAGTGGTGGGATGGTTAGTCTCTTTGACTTTTCGTTTTTGCCTGAAGAGGATAGATGTTCCATTCCAAGGCAGGAAATTTATTTTACTGAGTGGTGTCTCTGTTTTTCTACACTGCAAGCTAAAATTCACAATACATACCAGAAACTAACAGATCAGTCGTCACATGGACACTCACCAGAGCTGGGGAAGATAGAACTAACACTAACAAATGGGTGTCCGATTCTCAATCAGAGAATTTATTCTACTGGGAGGTGTCTCTGTCTTTCACCAGACAACAGGCCAAAAGTTGCCATACATACCAATGCCAGAAACTAACAGAGCAGTTGTCACATGGACACTTACAAAAGCAGAAGAATGAACACTAACAACATAAGTGGTGGAGTAGTTAATCTCTTTGACTCTTTGCCTATGTCTAAAGAAGATGCGTGTTCGACTTCTCTCATGCAGGGAATTTATTTTACAGAGTGGTGTCTCTGTTTTTCTCCACTGCAGGCTAAAAATCACCATAAATACCAGAAACTAACAAGTCAGTTGTCACATGGACTGTGAGTCACCACTGGAGCTGGGGAAGCAACCACATGCCTGGTGGTAGCACTAGTGACAAGTCAATCAGCCATATATAAATTTCGGTAAAAGGTACGAATTTCCTGAATGTACGGAAACCTTTGGACGGGCAGAGTAACAAAAAGGCATACATAAACACACAATTCATCATCATCCGGTGCCTCGCCGACTGGCGTGGGCGATCATGGACCTCCACTTCACTCATGTACAAAAACCAAACTCGACCACACATAATACACACAGACAGATGCAAATAGTCCAACATGAGAGAGAGAGAGATATTTTGTAAAAATGTGCAGGTCCCTCTAGTGAAGAGGGCAGAGGAGTAGACGTCCAGGTTTTCCAGGTGTAGTTATTGGCACAACTGTCACAAACAACTTGGCTCATGTCAGAGGACGACGTCCTGTCTGCCCTCTGGGAACATGTTTTTGGGGGT